TGTTCTGCGATCACGTCTGTGTTATAGTGTTGTGATCGCAGCCTTCTCGCATCTGTCAAGCGCAACTTAGAACAGAGAGGTGCTTCGTACGACGAGATAGAGAGGTGGGAGAGTAAATCGATGGCTTTGGAGAGGATTCCCCCATCCAACACATCCTAGAGGTAAATATCACGAGGGTAGGTCGGCAGGAACAGTGAAGCCGGATTAAAGAGGGATTTAGGTGTAGTTAAAGTTTAATTAGTTTAATTAGCTCAATGTCTTATAAATTTCATCTCTATCATTTCACTTATAATTTACATTTAGTGTTATATAGTGAATCGATCAAATAAACGTGTAGAATTTTATAAAATTATTTCAATTGAATTTTGAGAAAATCAAAATTTAGAGTACATTTCAAAGTTATCAAAATCTTTACATGGTTTTTTTTAAATCGATTATCACACCCTCTACTTGAAAGAAGCATTAAGTTGGAGCAAATCGATCCAGGCTGCAGATGAGCATCAGACGTCCATTCCCGTAACAATTGCTCACTCCTGTGTTCCCGTTCTCGCATCAATTGCTCACTCCTGCGTCCATCTCCTGCTCTCGTGTCCATCTCCCTTGCTCGTCTCAACCTCTTGCTCCTGCAATCTCGTGTTCCGTGTCAAAAGATAAGCTTTCGCGTTAATCTCCCGGGATTGGAGGACCTTCAACCTCATCCTTCAAAGCTTATGCCTCCTCATAGTATGAAGTTAAGTCAGTCACATTGAAGATAACAAAGCTACTGTAACTTCCTAGTAAGTCAGTCTGAAATGTTTTATCGTTCAAAAGCACATCCCAGTAGAATAAGTATACATTCACTTTTGCCATAACTTGAGATGGAGCAACACGTGGATGGGCATCCTCACGAACCAAGCCTCAAGCCAACAAATATGTAATAGGCTTCTTCCACTCATTGTATTCGTTCAAATGTATCTGATAAACAAGTATGCAGGGAGGATTCAATTTTGGGACAAAATATATGATATGTTGGGCATCTCTTATTAAAAATCACTTAGAAAAGGTCATTTCTTCTTCTTTGGTAGGACCTAGATCCCTTTATAAATTTTCTTCCACAGCAATTTCAAAGTTGTAGTTCATCCTTCCTGTCCAGGCATCTGTTGATAGAAATACTGCTAAACTAAATTTAATATATGAATAACTTCATATAGTCTTCCATAAGTAACTCAAAAGCTTCTTATATCTTACATGTTGCACTACTTTTAGGATAACCGCACAATAGGTGAATCGTCGATCAGGATGTCTGGCAATGTTGTCAATAAAGGTTGTCCCTTTTTAAGGTATCTGCTTCTCGGACTTATTATCTTCTAGAACAAATTCGACTAATCAAATTGGAGTCTCTCATGGGCTCATCTTGAATCACTAGCCTCTCTTCCTCTTCGGCTTGAAATTGAGGCCCATCTCTAATGTCTTCATCATTTCCTGTGTCATTGTTCATTTCTTCAACTGCTCATTGCTCAGTGAAATAGATTATTTTTTTGTTGTACAATCTGATTCAATATGCCCAAATTCATGACACTTGAAACACTATTGGGCTGGGACAGATTTGGGAATGTGAATTGGTTCCATCTATTCTCCCCTCTGAAATAATCTCTTCAGGCGGGGTCGACTTGAATGTTCCCTTAGGTGTACTCTAGCTGTAAGATCCTGGGATTGAACCCTACTTGTAAGATGTAGTGGTCGTCCAGTAATGTGGTCCCTCCAATTTTGAAGTTGAGGTTTGAATATCTGACCTGTAGTGAGCTTGTAGATACTGGCGCTGCATCTCTCACTTTATATTTGACTAAGCAGTAATTTTACTCTTTCATTCTCGATACCAAAGAATCTTTATGTTTGCCCACCACTAAGATAACACTTTCTTAACTTGAGGGCAGCTAATTTCATTATAATGTACTTTGGAACGTCCTAGCACTCAAAGACATTCCAAGGTCGAAAGTCACTCGATAAGATCAACCAAATTCATGTGGTTATCAAAAGATGGCAAATCCACCTTTACTTTAAAATTATGGTTTCTCCAATATTTCATGTCAAATCTTTGAGGTGACGGGTCTTCATCTCAGTGAATCGAATGGAATTTGTGTGTCCCCTTTGGATAGTCTCCTCTTGAAGGCGACGAGGCTCTATTGCAGTTGAAAGGTTTCTCGTTGCATATCCTCCTTAGAAATCTCCTGAAAACCATTTTGTGAAATTCTCATATATGGCATCTTGTGATTTCCTGCTATTGTCCCTTCAATGGCATGGAAAGGGTTTGGGTTTGGATTTGGGTAAGTGGAAGGTGGATAGGGGTTGTATAGGGTGGGAAAGAAAATCTTTGGGTGGCCGTTTTGAAAAATCAGCAAAAGAGAAGAGTTTTGGTGGACATTAAGTTAAATATTGATGGATGCTAGAAACCCTAGGATAAAACTAGGGTTAGGGTAGCTCTGATACCAAATGATACCAAAGTTTAACACAAACAATAATAGACTATTACTGAAAGCAAAAAATGTGATTACAACCATACACACTTGAAATAATAAATACAACAAACACAAGCAAATGGAGCTAAATGTATCCAAAGGTGATCATCGGTTTGGTGAGTGGATGGCAAGAGGATGGTGACGAGGCGGTGGATGGCTGTAAGAGGAAGAGGAAGTCACGATGGGCTGTCATGGGGAAAGGTGAAGGTTGGCCAACTAAAAGACAACAAGCAGTGGTTGGTTAGAGGGCTAGAACAACAATAAACAACAGGGAACAATTGTTCAAGATGGAGGCAGCGAGCGGGAATGATGGCAACAACAGCGGGGAATGCATGGGACTGCTTGACAGTAAGGGGTTTGTCTTGAGGCAGCAGCAACGAGGGGAGACGATTGGACAGTGAAGACGGAGCAGCGCAGCAAGGTGAGAGGTGGCCAAAAGGAATGGCAGCAGATGGAGGAAGTGGTCGGTGGCTGAGTAGCAGGGCAGGAATGTTGTTTAGTGGTTCCGACAGGAAGGAAAGGCAGCGGCGGCGATGTCGAGTAGACGGTTGCGGAGGATGAGAAGTTGAGGATAAATATTCCCTTGGGGAATGACTACAACCGGTGCACAACTCGACCCTTGGAAAAAGATCACCACCTCAGACGAGCTACAGCCGAAGCAACACCCGTCTTTGGATACAACCCTGGAAGGGGAGGAAACGGGAAGCCAATAGTTGTCCTGGACAGAAACACGACAAAACTAACCCTAGACTCTTTGAAATACAAATATATATATATATATATATATATATA